CCCCCGGGAGCTTTCAGGCTCTGACTCCTCCTAGGCAAATTCCAGCTTCTCCTGGAATTTGCTGGGGTTTGATTCCTTTTGGGCTCCTCCTTTCCTAAAACTCTGTGCAAAAGCTTCATCTTTTTGCTGGGTGTTGGCATGGCTGCCCCAGCTCTCACCTCTCTGGGCACAGCAGAGATGGGTGGCTGGAAGCTCCTTTTGCCACCACCCATTCGGGCTGCAGCAGAGCAGCTGATGTTATCCCCACCCCGAAATGCTGTAGCTGAGATCCTTGCAGGTGATCCAGGCTGTGATGGTGGTGCTTGGCGAGGTGCTGTGGGTGGTGCTGGCAGGTGCTGCTGTGCAGATCCCGAGCTCCTGGCTCCACAGCTGAGCTGCTGCTCCATCCCACAGGCCTTCCTGAGACCCGAGCTGCTGGGGAAGGAGTTCACGCACCTTGAGTTCCCCCGCAGGATCCAGCCCAACGAGCTGGGGAAGAAGATGCTGTACAGAGACCAAAGCATGAGTGGCTGGGAACCCTGCGCTGAGCACCTGCAGCTCCAGCCCCTGCCCGCGGGGGCTGTGGTACCGGGTCCTGGTTGGGGCTGTGGTGCCGGGTCCTGATTGAGGCTGTGGTGCCGGGTCCTGATTGAGGCTGTGGTGCCGGGTCCTGATTGAGGCTGTGGTGCCGGGTCCTGATTGAGGCTGTGGTGCCGGGTCCTGATTGAGGCTGTGGTGCCGGGTCCTGATTGAGGCTGTGGTGCCGGGTCCTGATTGAGGCTGTGGTGCCGGGTCCTGATTGAGGCTGTGGTGCCGGGTCCTGATTGAGGCTGTGGTGCCGGGTCCTGATTGAGGCTGTGGTGCCGGGTCCTGATTGGGGCTGTGGTACCGGGTCCCCGGGGGACCTCGTCCCAGGCAGGGGAGCTAGCAGAAACCTTCACCCACTGACACATTCTCTCTGGCTTATTTGAACCAGGGCTTACAAAAAGATAGAAGAGGATGACTTGAAGTTTCCACTTGTCTACGGGGAAGGCAAAAAGGTGAAGTGCTGTGGCAGGAGCTGTGTGGGGTCACTTCCCACCTGCCCTTGCTGGGTTGGGGGTTTCCAGCCCCTTTTTCTTAGTGTTCTTGCTGCTCCAATGCTACGGATTCTCACCTGGGAATGGAGGTGGAGATGAAGTGGCTGAAACTTTTCCTCTGGTTTCTCTGTCCTCCAGGCACGGGCAATGGCCACGATTGGGGTCACACGGGGGCTGGGAGACCATGACCTCAAAGTGTTCAGCTCCAACATCCACATCAAACCTTTCCTGTCCTGCTTCCCAGAGGTGAGCCTGGCTGCCAGCTGCTCTGCACCCAGGGGTTCAGGATGACCAGACCCATGGTGTGGCCAGGGCAGGGTTCAGGGCAGTGCCAATGCTCACCTGGGCTCTCTCCAGAGCCTCCTCTGCCCCTCACCTCTTGCCCTGTTATTTACCAGGTCAGGGTCTACGACCTCACACAGTACGAGCACTGCCCTGATGATGTTCTGGTCTTGGGCACTGACGGGCTCTGGGATGTCACCAATGACAAGGAGGTGGCCAGTGTGGTGATGGAGGTGCTGACGAGCTATGAGCCCAATGACCCATGCAGGTGAGCTCTGTGTGGGCAGGGGGACGAGCATGTCCTGCCCTTGGACATCTCCCCTTGACCTTGCTCCTTGGTGCAGTGTCATGGCCATGTGTTCTTCTGGCCTCAGGGCTGGTGCTGTTGCCCTGCAGCATGCAGTGCTCTCCTGGGTGTGCATGTGCCTCTCTCCAAGGGGCCCTTTCCTGCACCTCTAGCTCCTCCAGCTTCTCCTTCCATGCTGGGGGCTGCAGGATGCTGCACCAGGGATGCTGCAGGACCTGGGGCCCCTGCTGAGTCACGCTGTGCTCTGTCCCCCAGGTACACCATGGTGGCCCAGGAGCTGGTGGTGCGGTCCCGGGGGGTGCTGAAGGAGCGGGGCTGGCGGCTGCCCAATGACAAGCTGGGCTCTGGTGATGACATCTCTGTCTTTGTGATCCCTTTGGGTGGCCCAGGCAACTACACATGATGCCTGCTGATCCCAGGGGTCACCTTGCCTGGACGGGGATGAACAGGACCCTGGTGCTGCCTTGGGGCCACCTCTTTCCTGAGCACTCATTTCCTGAGCCGACCACAAGAAATCTGGAGCCTGTCCTGTGTCCCTGCCCCAAGCATTCCCCTCCACCTGCTGCATCCCAGCTCCAGGTGGAGATGGACAGAGAACAGGGACTGGGATTGAGGCCATTTTCTTGGTTGCTGTGAAAGCCTGAAGGCTCCCTGGCTTCTTGGAGCTTTTCACCTTGCCCTGGGCCTGGGTGTGGCTGTTGGGCTGGGGGGGCACGTGTACCTGGAGAAGCCTGGACCTGCTGCAATCATCACCCCTTCCCCTGCACTGTGACACTTCCACTGGTGACACCAAAGCTGTTGTGGGGCTGTCTTTGTGCTCACCCTCTCCGGCCCCTCACACCTTTGTCCCAGCCACATACCTTGTCTCAGCCTCCAGTCTGGGAGGATGGGGCAGTGCTCGGTCCCTGCAGCGCACCGGGAGCCCCGGGAAGGAAGGAGCTCCTGCACTTGCACAGGCTGTGCCAGCTGTTCTGCCCCCACCTCTCTTCCTGCCTTGGATCACTGCTGTCTTTCTGGAGCCAATTATTTATTATTAACTGGAGAGCTGAGCTGGAAAATGTCTAAATCCTTTCTTGGTGTGGCCAATCAGTATGAATATGTGTCTATATTTTTGAGTGGTTCTAAGTTGGCAGCAGCTCTGCACAGAGCAGCCCTATTCAGCCAAGCTTAACAGCTTAAATGTGCTGCATGGATCTGCTTAGCTGAGGGCTGGAGACTCACAATAAAAGCAGCTTGGTTGTGACTGGGGCAGGGGGGAAAGACAATTCCCTCCTTTTTCTTAATAATCTCAAAGCTAGTGCTGAGCAGAGCTGTAGCAGCATTTGATCTCTGCACAGGGTCTTACATCACACACACCTCTGACCTGGAGGATGCATTTCCTAGAAGCTGCAGAGCATTGCATCCTCCTGGAACATGAGGGATGGTCCCATCCTGGCAACAGGGTGATGGGGATAGCTGGGCCATGGCCCCTCGTTTTGGAAAGGCTCTGGCACCACTCGTTTGTGTCCTGCTGTCACTAGGTGCAGCCAGCTCTTGTCAGGTGTCACCTTTGGTGAATGTTGTTCGCCTCTTGTAATCGGTGAGATGTAAATGAAGTGGGTGCACTTAATAGGAAGTGAAAGTTATCCAGCAAGATCTTAAACTTGACATTCTCTGTGCTGAAGGGAGCAGGGAGTGGTGCTGGGGCTGGGAGCCTGTCCTTGCGTAGCACTGTGTGTTTAAATAAAGGTTTTGCCACTTGCAATCCCACTTCAAAGTCTTTCCTGCATAGCTTCTGCAAAGAAGACTTACCTAAAAGCCAATTAGCTCTGATGAATTTATGTAGGCAGGCTTGGTAGCAAATAGGTCCAGGCAGAGCCATGGGAGCTACTGTGTTTCTGCCCTTGGCATTGGCCAGACCTCACAGATCATCCCTCCCTTGCCTACAGGGAGTGGGAACCACTGGGGGCTGGCTGGGGGGTCACAGCTCCTGGGGGCAGGGTGGGAGGGAGGGGCAGGAGTGCAGGACCTTGCTCTTGCAGCTTGGGCATCCCAGCAACAGCTGCCCCTGCCCCTAGGGCAAGCTGCCTGCTGGAAATGTCCCTTGTCTTCCTGTCTGCCAGCTGGTACCCCTGCTGCCCCTGATGCTTGCACACGTTTTCCCCACACCTCCAGCTCCCCCCACACTTGTTTGCACAGCCCTGTTCCCCTGGCCTGATGCCGTTAGTGCTGGTGGCTGAGAAGTAGCTCTGCTTTTCCAGGTCATTGCCTGGGAGCTGCTGGGTAAGGCAAGGAGGCAGAGGCTGCATTTAAAGCTTCCTCTGTGGTTCCCTTTTTTACTAAGGAAACATTTCCTTTGGAACCAGCTCCTGGCCTGGGGCTTGATAAACTAAGAAAAATTGTCTCCAAGCCCTTAAAATAGCAGCAGTTTCTGAGCCTGGGTCTGGGCCAGGACCCTGGGGCTGCCTTCCCCTGGCCGAGTGACAGGGACGCGGCCCCGCACCCCCTCCCGCAGCCCCTGGGGGGCAGGGGGGGCCGAGCCCTCTGAAGCCTCCACGCCGGAGTCATCTCGGAGCGGAGGGCTCAGGAGATCCTGGGGACCAGGCGTGTCCCTCGCACCCAAGCTGTCTGCATGGTGGGCAACGGGACCTTCCCCGGGGGTCGAGCGGCCGCCCGGGCAGCGCTGGGGGTGCCCGGGGGTGCGATGGGGTTCGGGTGGGGGTCCGATGGGGTTCGGGTGGGGGTGCGATGGGGTTCGGGTGGGAGTGCG